GCACCTGAATTGTTAGATATTACAAAAATCAACACATTCCTAAGAAAGACATGTAATCTTCTTTTTCCATACTTTGAAAATTTTCCTCAAAATGCAGGGGTAAGAAAGCCTGCCATCTCCAAAGTAAGAGTACAAAAAAGTAAAATTACCTGAAAAGAAAAAAAAAAGAAAGAGAGGGAAGGGAGGGAAGGAAGGGAAGAGAAAGAAAAAAGAAAAAGAAAGGAAAAAAAAAAAGCAAGAAAAGAAATGATGTGTTTTGCCTAGCACATTTAAAAGAAGAGAAAACATGCATATTTTTTGTCATGCACAAAAAAAAAAAAAAAAATCAGAACCTGTGTTTCCGTCGAGGACCTGGATTTCTGTAGGACTACATGTCTATTTTATTTGAGTCAAATGTCTCAATGTGTCAGTGTTATGCCAATCCAAAATCTGTCCTATTATTATTTTATAGCAAACATCAGATTAAAAGACATAGCAGATAAAGCATGCAAAGAATTGACATCAGCACACTTGGTCTGTGCAAAAAATATATTGTGGGAGAAGCTGGAAATGTGGGGCTTTCTAGCAATCCGGGCATGCTGTTGGGAACTCAGATTTTCAGTTCTAGCCCTAGCACTGCCACAACTTGACCCCACTGAGTCATAAACAAAAATCCCATTGACATCCAAGGTCAGCGGATCAGACATCATCTTCACGTTCTGTGGAGACAGCACACAAGTGCACGCTGCCACTCTGAATCATGTTTGATGATCCCTTTAAGACTTCTGACAAAGCCAGGTATGGAGTTCAAATTTCTTAGAGCCAGGCCTCTGCTAGTTACTGATCTGAAAGGTGTCTAACACCACAAGTTTCTTGTCAGAGTATGATCCAGGTGCTGCTACGCTACAAAAACAAAAATATGCAGTGCTGTCTGTTGGGGGATGGAACCTGGCTCTTGATTTATATGCCTTAATTTCTACAACAATGGGGATAATAACTCTTACCTACTTCATAATGGGAGAGGATTAAATAATAAACATTTATACAGTGCTTTGCAAATAAACATTATGTAAATGCTAAGTATTATGATATTAACCAAAATGTCACTACGTCTATATGACCCTACTAAGCAAAAAAGAAAACAATCCAGTATAAATTTTTTCACACATTTTCAAGTCAGTAAAAATGAACCATGGAGTCAGCTTGCTATTTTGATACAAATGGATGAAGTACTTCAGCCTATTCAATAGTTCCAAGAGATCAGAGGCTTTTTTTTCATTATAAAGAGGCCCACGTACTGCAAAAAGTATTTCTATAGACTTGTTTATAAACAACATCATTCATTTGGCAGCCATTCAAGTTATTTCTCAAAACACCAGACCAAACTTTTGAGGAAGATTCTTTAGCAATCTACACACACTAAATGAAGGTCTCCACAAGAATTCTGCCCAGTATCTGCTGTTTTGATGATCTTGGAAATCTTACACTTCTCAGTGAAGGATAACACAAAGATTGCTCTGGATGATGACAGACCATAAATGAAAGTTGGCATGCCTGAGAATCTAATACAGTTACAATACTTTTAATAAGCACCTCAGGACCTTGGCAATCTTTTCTTCAACGTCGTCAAGAAAAAATAGTTAAAGAAACGCAAAGAGAAGACCACATGTTAACAGAGATGGAGTAGACACTTCAGATTCTAATCTTGTATGGATCACTGGAGCTCCACATGGTAAATGGAGCCACAGTGATTTACATTTAATGAGAAGTACAGCCCTGTACATGGTAGCCCAGGTAGGACTTCTCGTTTCTTCCTAGCGATGTATGGATGACAAGAAGAGGTCATCCACAGCAAAGTTTCTATACCACCACTGATGCAGCTGACCCCTTCTAGAAATAAGGAAATCAGAAATGGGTTTTGGTTACAGTGCACCCTTTTCACTTTGTTTCACATTAAATGCAATGCAAGAGTGGCACAAAGTGCCAAAGTACCAGTTGGTAGCTTCTCAGCAACATCTTGTCTCTTAACCCAAGTGGCTCTACCATACCACCTTCAAAACAAGGAGGTACTCTTGCCACCTTTCTCCCTTCTGCAGTGGAAACCAAGGCTGTCCTTGAAACATTCATTAACAAGTCTTAGCTACTCAGAGAAACCAAGAATTTTTCATTCTGTTAAGATGTACGACAAGTCATTATCCCCCTTATTTTTTGTGAGCAGGGAACTACATGCACAGTACCAGCATTTTTTGAATACAAGAAGGAATCTATGCATTAAAATTTCTGAGAAGACTACACAGATTTCTGCTGTGTACGTATCTATAGTAAAACATAGTAAAAGCGGAACAGTCATTCCTGCCAATGTGTGAGGAATGCATACATGCATCCTGTACCATTGTGGGATTGGTAGCATTGGACAGCCTCACTTAGAAAACGTCCAAGAAAATTCAGATCCCGACCCTATCACTTCAAATGAGTTTATTCTGTAGAACTGCTTAGGGGTAAAAAAAATCACTCCTTTGTGAAAGTCCAGCACAGGATTGAAAAAAAAAAAAAAAAAAAATCACATAAACTCTCAAAAGAGGACTTGAAAGGGAAATAATTAAATCACAGGCAGAGATAACAAGTAGTTCACCAAATCGAAAGTTTTTGGTCTTCGGCACTTTGCATCAAATTCTGCTTTGGTGGCTGTGGGTATCCAATATAACAACTTGCTTGTTATATACTAAAACATCTCTATAGTAAGCTTTATTTTAAATACGCACGTGTTAGAAATGCTGGAACCATTCTGAATATTTCCCTTTTTAGCCAGAAACTCATATATCATCATGAATAATGGTTTTCTTTCTAGGAAATGTTTTCTTTCAATAAGAAAACCTTAATTGCCTGAGATTTTTGTCCATATTTCTCAGCAAGGAATAACGCTATCTTAATATATTGGTCTTGTTTCAAAAAGGTACTGGGCTTTCACAGAGGTAGAAAAGGCAGGTAACATTTCTCAGCTCCAGCTAATCCAAAGCATGACTACTTCTCACATAATAAATTGAAGGGAAATGGCACAAACTTGACACTTCAGAAATTTCGCTTGCTAGAAAATATCAAAACTTGAAGGAGAAAAAAAAAGACAAGTGTCTAAAATTTATCTACAGCATGGGGTTTTTTTCATCCTACAGTATTATTTGGATGTGATAAATATCAGCAAAAGCCCAAACTAGTAATGGATCACTAAAAAGCAGGCTTAATAACGTACTGTTGAGAGGATAACCATTCATCAATGCAGGCCTTGATAACAAAAGCAGCAAATAGCTATCTTGTTAGGTGCAGACAAGACCAGTATTTGTACCTTCCTCTCTCCTCCCCATCAAAAAAGAAAAAAAAAAGGAAAAAAAAATGGAAGAAAAAAAAAAAAAAGATGTAATAAACCAAGCAGAAGCAAATAGCATAAAAAGTAGAAATGTGGAAGAAAGGGAGAGAGGAGGCCAGTAAACCCAGACGCTTTGGTAATATAATTTAAAGGATTTTTGTACTCTCCATCATTTTTGGATTTATATTTGTTAGTTTGTTTAAGCCTTAGCTTAAGGTTTGGTATCTAAATCACAGGCAAATTTTTTGAATGGCCAAATATTGAACTTGTCCACCTCTACAGAACGCTTCTGTGGGTTTGTTTTTTTTCTTTACTTAAGAATGATTGCAAAAACATCATACAGACTTTTCAGCTTACTTCCCAGAAATATGGCACATTAACTTGACTAGAAATCATGGCATCTACCTTTTCCCAAATGCGATACATATAATTTTATCCATTCATAGGAGACTCAGACCATCATTTTGGCAAGGAGCTGCAATGCACCAGTCTGAGCATAAAGGACTTAAGTTATGGTTCTTGCAGAATCGGTTATTAACAGAATAAGTACGGCTATTTTTTCTTTAATCTATAATATTTACAGTATTGCACTTTACTGCACTTAATTGCATTTCACTAAAATTAATGCTGCATCAGTATTATGCCTTAAAACCGTATGTCCGTCTTTATCATGTAAGTCATTCTTTCTACATCCTGTGAAACAGCAACATTTCAATTAAACAATCCAGACCTTCAGGAAAAAAAAAAAAAAAAAAAAAAAAAAAGTTAGAAAAAAAATGACCTGTTTCTATGGCACAACACATCTCTTTGAGTTCAGGTAACTCTGGCAAAACAGGTGCGTTTCCTATTGTTCCCATCTTCCAGGTTATCATTAAGGATTGGTAAATTCTAGTCTCTCTCTGCTTTTTTGTTTGTTTTGTTGTTGTTGTGTTTTTTTTTTCCTTTCAAAGGACATAGCCATTTGAGACGCACTTTTTTTTTATTGCTGCTTTTTTTTTTTTTTTTTAATAGGAAAGAAAAGAAAAAAAAAAAAAAAAGAAAGAAACTGCCTTGCCTCAAATCCGAAATTCCACATCTAAATTCAAACCAGTTCTGCAGCAGCAGCTCCTCAGTGATGGAAGAGATTCATGGCAGTGAAATAATACTGTTGGCAACAAAGAAATGTCATCTTTAATGGAGACCAGCCCCAAGGATTTATTATTTATTATTATTATTATTTGTTTCGTTTCGTTCTAATATACTTCTGATCTTCCAAACGTGTTTAGTTAGACACATGCACAAGGTAGCAAAACTGACGGGACAGCAGCAGGTGACGGGATGCTGACGGAGCAATCGACTTTTGCCAGGCTCAACAAATCCGAAGCGTCCCCCACGTTCACGGCTTAACGTGACTCAGAGACGGTTTCCTCTCCCATTTTCCTCTGTCCCCCTCTCTGTCTGTCTGTCTGCCTCTCCTCCCACCTACTTTCTCCTCCGCGGAGTCTCTGGGTTGCGTGGGGTGCCGGGGGCGGTGCGCGGCCGGAGAGGGATGCGGGGCCGCGAAAGTCCTCTCTGGGAAAGCGGCGGGACGGAGCTGCCGGGAAGAGCTGGAGAGTAGGGTTGGGAAGGGGGAAAGACATCGAAAATAAAAACGAAGGAAAGGGGAAAAAAAAAAAAAAAGAGAGAGAAAGAGAGAGAGAGAGAGAAAAGAAAAGAAAAACCGGAAAACCGGAGAGCGGGGCGGCAGGGCGGCCCGCAGCGCAGCTCTCCCCGCGGCCGAAGGCGCTGCTGACGGGAGCGGGGCTGCCTTGCGGAGCTCCTGGACCGCGGTGCTAGCCGGAAAGGAGAGGCGTGAGGCCGAGAGGCCGGAGCGTGTCAGAGCCCCAGGGCCTCGGCGTGCTTGCGGGCCTTCAGCCGCAGGTCGGCGATGCTGGAGTTCTTGCTGTTGCTCTTGGCGGCTGCGGCCACCACGGCGGCGGCGGAGGCGGACTCCGCCAGGGAGGCGATGGGCAGCCCGAAGGGCGGCGGTGGGAACATCAGGTAGGGAGCGTGGGCCGCCAGGTGCGGGTGCAGGTGCGGGTGCGCGTGGGCCACGCCCTCCAGCTGCAGCTGAGCCTGGACCTGGGCGGCACGGAGACACCGCGTCAGCACCGTGTGTGTGTGTGTCCCCAACCCTCCCTCCTTCTTCCCATCCCCTCTCCGTGTTAACCCCAGTGCTGAAAGCTGAGTTGGACGTTTTCTCTCTCTTTTCTCAGGGACGCCCCTTTGTAACCCCACACACGGTAGGACGGTGATTGCCTCGGAACCCTTCCGACGTGTGAGAACGCGCGGTGTTGGCACAGAGATTTCAGCTCCGCGGAGGGGTGTAGGAGCGTGAGTGGGGGGCGGGGGTGGTGAGAAGTAGTTTATTTATGTATTTAATTATATGGCTCCAAATATGGCTTTTCAAAATCAATACAATTAATCTGTCAGCCTCCACGTGCCTGCGAGAAGCAGGAGGTGGCCGTGGGTCCCTCCGGGCCCGAAGAATCGATTCGCCATCCATTGAGCGAAATAGTGGAAGCGCTCGGCTCCAGGGGGGTTGTGCGCTGAGCTGCGTGTGTCATACGTGCCCTCCCCCCGTACGTGGGGCTTGGGAGCGTGGCGAGAGATGGGGGGACAGGCAGTGAGAGCGGGGCTGCTACCTGTTGGAAAGGCATCCTCAGGGCTCCCATATTGACGTACGGGGCTACTCTGCAGGCGTCTAAGTGGCTGGCGGTGCCCAAGATCACACCTGTGGGCACAGACGAGGCCGGTGAGCGTCGAAGGGACCCTGCACGCCCCCCAGCGTCCCCCCGGCTGGCCCCTGCCCACCTTTGTGCATCTGGTTCTCCTGCTTTCGGCACTTGGCTCTCCTGTTCTGGAACCAGACCTGCGAAAAGAAAATGCAAACAAACAAAACAAACAAACAAAAAAAAAAAAGGAAAAAAGAAATTGGGGGTAGACGAGGCAGTTGCTAAGAAAGCGGATTAACTGCGGGGCTGAGGCCGGAGGGAGAGGCTCAGAGCAGCTCCGCTCAGCTCCGTCCCCGGGGGCAGAGCCCAGCCCCGAGACTCTCGGCGTGCTGTGGAGGGCCCGGGGGTACCTCGCTTTTTTTTGGGGGGGGGGGTCTCCCAACAGGAACTGAGCCCGGAAGCCCCCTCACAGTGTGGGGGGCCGGCAGCCGCCGCTTGCACCTAGTTCCCCGTTACTGTCGCCGTGCCACCCGGCTGCAGCGGGGCCCCCGCTGACACAGCTCGCCGTGACCCCCCGCGGTCCGGCTGCCTTCCCCATCACACCTCATCAGTCCGGAGCAGCCAAAGCCCACTTGAGCGACGGGACAGACCGTTCCCCCGGGGCTGGGAAGGCTGGGGACCTCCGAGGACAAGCGAGATACAGAACGGGAACAAAGGGCCGAGTCACTCCCAAACGTAGGGAGGAAAAAAACGCGCTTCTGTGGACTTCTGAGCAGACACTGCGACGTCTCCCATACAGGGTACACAGCAGCGCTGTACCCTTGCCGAGAGACGCCCGTAAGCAAGCAGTCCTCCCTGCCTCCAACAGCCTCCTTTCTAGAGCACTCCTAACGCCCATCCCTTCACCCATCACCGTGCCCCTTTGAGGGACTCGGAGTGGCGGCTCTCCCCATTGGCACCGTCAGAGACACAGAGCAGAAAGCACCGCAGAGCCCCATCCTCACACAAAATCTGCCGATTGTGGACAAACATTGACTTTCACCGCTGATAAAATCTTGTCGCTAAGTAAACACCTCCAACCTTTGATGTTCTCGCACTTGCCAAGAGATCATACGGTTAATTAATACTAACTGCACTTCCTACATCAAATTTTGCCTCCAAGCTTTCTTCAATTGCCTTAATGATGGTCATTTACAACGGAGTAATTAGTGCAAAGAAAGGCTTCCAAAGGCATTAATTACCTCGGGTACCTCAGTGATTTTCTTAAGCAGGAATCGGCCCTCTCTCCTTTCCAGCACCGTTTCTCCTACCTAGAGAGGGGGCGGGCGGACGGAGGGGGCTCTGCCCGCTCCCGTTCCCATTCCCTGTTCCGTTCTCATTCCCATTCCGGGTGCAGCCGCCTCGCAGCGCTCCCGGCTCCGCGCAGGGCACGGGGCTGCGCTCGCTCCGCAGACGCGCAAATCTCAGCGACGCGCAGCGCCGCTCCATTTTTTACCGAGGTTTGCATACAAGAAAGCAAAGTATCACCGCACGGTCGCGACAATAATGCGTTTTTTACAGTTGTAAATCCTTGCAGGAAATCTCCTTGCGTGTGTTCCCCCCAACCTCCGC